ATCAGTGGGTTCTCATCTCACTGACTGGTCATGTCAATAAGAAGCATCAGTGGGTTATGGTTATGGAATCAGTGAAAAAGCATCACGGCCGTTGGCTATGGTTATGGCATCTATCGGCTGTCAGCGGCTATTCTACAAGGCTTCAGTTAGTAAACGAGGGGCTGCGAGGCACAAGCGGACACTAGTTTCTGTATCCTCTCAAGCTCGTCAGAGTCAGCCTTACTTTCAATTTCCATTGCCAAGGAAGAATCTCCTCCTACCTTACCATAGACGTCGTCTGAAACCGGAACCAGTTGCCTCGGCGATCCTGCTGCGGTTATGTCAACGTTGCTGAGCCTCACATTAGTACAAGGTACTGTCTTGCTGCAACGAAAAACAGCACCCTCGTCTCCAATGGTTGTGCCGTGGATGTTCGAGAACGAAACGCCCGAGATAGCGACGTTTTTGGACTTTGCTGAGCTTCGCGAGAGCAAGCTCCCTCCATTGTAGAACTGCAAGTTGAAGAGCCACAGAAATCACTGTCAATGCTGTACAGTGAGACGAAGTTGGCATAAGCAGATAGTTCACTTACCTGATCCAGAACCAGTGGGTACCGAACCCCCTCCATTGTAATGTCCTCATACGCAATGTTAGTCGCTGCACCAGTTCCACCTTGGAAAGTCTTTATGCGTAGGCCTATCTTTGTGTTGAAGAACCGGACGGACTTCACAGTCACGTCTGAAACGCAGGAGAGTGCTGATATCTTGCCACTGCCAAGTGCTCCAATTCTGCGCATTATTGCGATAGAAGGAAAGTGAGGAACGCTATGACACTGGAATACAACAATTTCACGACCATACACGGTGGTGTGATTGAGGTATCCAGCATTGGGGTACGGGTGACATACGATATTCCATGTCCGCTGAAGGCGGTAATGTTTGAGATACTGACTCCTCTCGCGCCGTCCCACAGAACAATGTTGTCATCACCTGCATTGGAACAGACAATAATGATATTCAGGATCGTGTGGTTTATGCTACGTGAACGGCATCAGATGTTCAAAACTAATTCAACCACTTACCGCCCGCCAGGATGCAGTCCCGTATATCAACATTTGTTGACACGGATACATGAATCCCGTCCGTGTTTCTGCTCTCTGCAGGGGTGTTTGTCTTGAAGTCAAAGATCCTCACTCCCACGCAGCGAGTAACTTGCAGGTGGAAAAATGGTGCATTCCTGTGATACGGCGGGCCATTGACATGAGTCAGATTGCATAGTACTGCTGAGCGTGACCGTGTGATAGATGAGGAAGTAAATGATGCGAAGGATAGGGAACCAGCAAGACTTACTGAAGGGTGATGCCGCTAATGCTCGTGCCGTTGCACATGTAGACGTACATCAGCACTGGTCGGTCGCCTCCTTTCTTCCAGAACGACTCCCCTTGCCCGTCAATAAACCCCGAGCCGAACACCGTCAGGTTCGTGATCATCCCAAACTGAAGAAACGCGAAAATACCCTTCCTGGATGACGACGGATACCTAGAGAGCTTCTCAGGTGCCGTTATGTTCCCGTCAATCTGGACATTCACTCCTCCTAGCCCGCAAGGCCCGATCAGCTGAATAGGCGTGAGGTAGAAGGTGTATCCGCTTGGAACGAGCATCGTTGCAGGGGCGGTGCCGTCATCTGCAGCAAGAGACGCGTTGCACGCTGCTGCGAACGCGGCCAAAAAACTATCGGAATCGTCTGACTCTCCGTTTCCCTTGGCTCCAAAACTCCGCACGCTGTAAATCGTGCCAGTGGGACGCGGAGCGGGAAAGCTACTGGTTACCTGGTTACCAGCACCGGGCTGCGGGAAAGCAGGTTGAATCCCGTTGCCATTTCCCGGAGAGCCACTTGTGATATCCACGCTCACCCCAGTCGGGGCACTCACTACCGCGGATGGATTCGTAACGAAGGTAGCGGGGTCTGGGTCCGGCATGGAGAAAATCACGGGCTTTTTGGGAGTGAAGAACGGATTGCCGGAGTCGAAACTCGGATCCGCTTCGGGGAGCAAGTCCGGAGTGTCTAGAACGTACGGCGTGGGGGAAGCTTCGGATGAGAAGTCTGTGGCTGACGCGCTGCCTTCCGGCCAGAATGTGGGCTCGTCTCGAGAGGACGACTTGAGGAGCCGGGGATAGAAGCGGAACGAGTGGATATGGCTGTCCGGCTCGACGAGAGGTATTCGGGAAAAGCCTCCTCGGATGAGCTTCGAATGCTTACTGTCGTATTGATGGGTTGTCGATGTGGCAGCGGACGATTGCGCGGAGAGAAGGCAGACATGATGCGTCAGTAGGGAGAGAGCTGTTCCGAGGAGGAAAAAGGAAAGGCGAGGGAGTGCGCTGCAGATGTGTGGCCGGGGAATTTCGAGATGGCTAATAGGCGTCATATCGTTGTACAGGATGTAAGTGTAAAGCAAAAGATGCGCAGTCTGCTTTGCCTGTAAGGCTGTTCCCAGCACGGGCGGTTTTCGAAATAAGCACTTGGTTTAGCGACTTTCTGGTTCTGTAGGAAATACGCTCACGATAAACGATCGCAATGGCAGTACGCGAACGAAGGACCAGGGCTGTTGCAGCGCGGGATTGTTAGGTTAGTGGCTACTGAGCACAGAGATGACTTTGTAAGGAAGTAACCGAAAGAACTTAATCCAGAACATGAACCTCACGCATCGTGTCGGAAACCACCTCGTGCTAAACTCGGCAAATAACCATAACGTGCCGTTTTACGGAATTCCTTGAAGGGGGATGCTGAAACTATGGAGAGAAGAAACCACAGTGGTGCTGTTCGCCAGCAAATCGAACATTTGAATGAAAAATATGGCATCGGCATCGCGACCGCATCCGGAAACGGAGGCGGAACCCACCTCCTAGGTTTGGGCGTAATGCCACTCGAGAAACTTCTGCGCCCGGAAATTACGCAACCGCATCGGGAACCTCCATCCCCACCTTCCCCCCAAGGGCTTTGAACGGCAATGCAACGGCTGTGCCATCGCTGTCCTCTGAAAAACGGGGCATGGCGATGGCATGGCTTGGGGATGGAATTTTGCCTGGTGACGAAGTTGCGTCCCCGCTTCTATTTGCCGTCGAGCAGCTCAAGTTGGTGGACAAATGGGGGGCGTTCGCCAGACGCCCACTATGGTTGTTGGTTTGGACGGTAGAGGAGGCTCGGCATCTTTTTTACGGGCTGACCAGGCTGACGGAAGTAAACGAACCCTAACTCACGGGATCAGGAAGACGAGACCCACCTTCCTGATCCCGTCCTTATCCCGTGGTTTTTGGCTTCACAGGTGCTGGCGAACAGCCCCAGTGGAAGAGCATGTGAGCTGTTGAATCGGGTCTTGATTCTTGCCACCTTGATCTGGTTGAGAGCTCTCTCCGCAGCACCCTCCCCGTCTCCACTTCCTGATCCAATTTCTGGGGGAAAATGTGCGACTCGGCTAGCTGGAATTTGTGAGATCGTTGCGGCTCGGGATGAGCGAAGGTGCCGTGAAATTAGTCGAAACGGTCAAATTAGGAAGAAGCGTGTACATGGCGACTGCTACAACTGTTGTAGGTATCATGGTATTATTATAAAACAAATTAGCAAATGCGAAAATACTAAAAAGTCACATAGGAGCCATCTTGTGAAGCCCCGTGCAAAAAAGTCACTCAACCAGGACAGCAAAAATACTAATGGTTATAAAATTATCTCATAACGTTGTTTCCACACGCAATCACATTTACCATACAGTCCGACCCAGTACTGCAAATTAGACTGAAAAGTATAGCACATCATGCATATGAGAAGGGAAAAAGTTGCTTCCCTTAAATAATGACTGGAAAAGAGCCTGATGGAGCATGTGCTCATGGGTTAATTTACTAAATTACAGTTGCTCTACTCCAGTTGGCTGCATCATGCTGCAATGCCAGTCCATGTTGCAATCATTGCACTGTCCATGATCTCTTGAGCCTCTTCGTCAGTCTGCCAAGCAAGTGTTTCACAAGACACCACAACGAGCACATGGTTAAACAATTACACGATTGTATGGTATATACATATTTGCACACACATTAAGCGCACACGTATATGGTACATGCACATATACGCATGCACCCACATACGCACATGCGCACTCACTCCGACCGACTCACAACAAAGCAGATAAAAATCCAAATCGTCACGACTCTCACCCCTTCTCCTTCATCCCATACCACTCACCCCACCACCCTCACCCCGCCACCCTCACCCCGCCACCCTCACCTCGCACTGTTCTCGGACAGAAGCAGCATCGGGAAGGCTCCACCCCCACAGCCGCTCACTCACCCTCACCGCCCGCATCCTCAGCTGCCCCTGCTGCCCCCCCAACTGCCCCCACTGCGCCTGCGGCCCCCCCTGCTGCCAGCCAAAGCGCTTGTGAGCATAGAGCAGGAGGTGGGCAATGTATCGAGCATTGTCCCTCCTCCTGGGCCACCGCCAATAGATGTGTGCCGCCATGCGCGCTGCAACGGCCAGGATTAGATCCCCGATGTCCTTCTCGCGCGGATCGACGGTGGAGATCAGGCGCTCGATCCAGGCCCAGGCGCAGGCGAGGGAGGAGGGAGAGCGGTGGAGGGAGGGGGTGAGGGGGGAAGGGGAGGAGGAGGAGGAGGAGGAGGAGGAGGAGGAGGAGGAGGAGGAGGAGGAGGAGGAGGAGGAGGAGGAGGAGGTGGTGGTAGTGGTGGTACTGATGGGTGCAGAGGGGTTGGGTGCAGAGGGGTTGGGTGCAGAGGGGGCTGCATGCGGTTGCTTGTTGGAGGAGGAACGGGAGAAGGAAGCTGAGGAGGTGGAGGAGGAGGAGGTGGAAGCCGAGGTGGGGAAAAGCGAGTAGGAGAGGGAGCAAGGCGAGACGGCTCGAGGGGTGGACTCGAGGTAGATGGGGCCAGGCGAGGTGAGGGTGATGAGCAGCCCTTCCAGGCCCCAGTCGAACACCTCCAGCATCTGCTGCTCCGGGATAGCTCCATCCGGCGTCACTGCCTGTAAGAGGAGAGAGAGGGGTGGAGGAAGGGAGACAGGAATGATGTGAGGGTGGTGAGCGTGATGAGCAGCCCTTCCAGCCCCCAGTCGAACACCTCTAACACCTGCTGCTCTGGGATGGCCCCGTCTGGCGTCACTGCCTGTGGGGGTGGGAGGGAAATGACGGAGAGGGAGAAGACGGATTGTGGGGGGGATGGCGCTGGCACCTGCTGCTCTGGTATGGCCCCTTCTGGCGTCACTGCCTGCAGTGGTGACAAGGAGAGAAGGGCGGGGGAGAAAGCGGAGAGGGAGAGAAGGGAAAGAGAGGATAAGGATTGTGAGGGGGTCAGCGAGAGGTGAGTATGAAAAATGGTGTCACTGTGGGAAGTTGGTTTCTGAGAGTTCTCAAGAGCCAGCGTGTTCTCAAGAGCCAGCGTGTTCTCAAGAGCCAGCGTGTTCTCAAGAGCCAGCGTGTTCTCAAGAGCCCGCGTGTTCTCAAGAGCCAGCGTGTTCTCAAGAGCCAGCGTGTTCTCAAGAGCCCGCGTGTCTCCAGCCCCCAGTCGAGCACCTCTAGCACCTGCTGCTCTGGAATGGTTCCCTGTCAATGCCTGGAGGGTGGGAGGAGGGAGGGAACAGAGAGGGAGACACGGGATTGCGAGGGGTCCTGGGAAAGGTGAGTGTTACAAATGTGGTGCCCCCAGAGAGCACCACAGAGAGCACTTCACAAATCTGCTGCTCTGGATGGTCACAGCCTGCAGGGTGGGAGGGAAGGAGTCGGACGGGGAGGGGGCTGGGCGCAGTGGGAGTTTCGTGGGTGTGAGTGTGATCCACCCACTTCCCATACGCCAATCCTCTTTAAAAAGGAAAGTCTCACCTTGAACGTCCCTTTGACCGCTTTCCCCCACATGACAGGCAGAGCCTTGTGAGCCAACGCGCTCTGCTTCTCCAGAAGCCAAAGAGGGGTAAAGCACAACCACTCACACAGCCAGCCGTGTCTCAAAACAGATCTCACCTTGAACATTCCAAGTTGTTTCAGAACAAGCCTTACCTTGAACGTCCCTTTGACTGCCTTCCCCCACATGACAGGCAGAGCCGTATGTGCCAGTGCGCTTTCCCTCTCCAGCAGCCCTCCCACCGCCTTCCACTGCGCCCACCCCACCTCCACTCCTGGGAAACTCACTTCCGCCGCCCACCGAACCAGCGCCGCCTCCCGAACCTGCCGCTGCCGAGCCTCCCGATCAGCCTCGGCCGGCAGGCCGTCCGGGCCTTCTGCCACTGCCGAGCCTAGCGGGGAGGGTCGGGGAGTGATGCGGCCGTTTTGGGTGTGCAGGGAGAAAGGTGGAGGGCGGGATGAGGTGGACGTGGTGGCAGTAGCGGTGGAAGAGGCGAGAGAGGTGGAGGTGCGAGTGGTAGAGGCTGAAGAGGAGGACGAGGAGGATTTTGGGAAAATGGTGAAGGGCGGGAGGGACGGCAGTGGTTGTTGGGGAGAGGAGGATTCGCGTGAATGTATGGTGGAGGTTTTAGCGAATGAGAAGCTCGCCTCGCCTTGCTCCTCCTCCTCCTCTTCCTCCTCCTCATCTTGCTTTTCCTCCCCCTCCTCCTCACTCCCCTCCTCGCACACCTCTCCATAAATCCTCTCCCCCTCACTCCCCTCCTCACTCTTCTTGTCAACCCTACTGCCCGCCTCCTCTCCTTCCAAAACCGCATGCAGAGCCCCCGGCGCACTCACCGCATTCAGAGCCCGCGGCGCACTCACCGCTCGCTGCCCATGCAAAGCCCCATCTGCACCTCCTTCCTTCACCCCCTCTTCACATCCCCCTCTTCCTTCAGCCCCTGCACCCACAGCCCCTGCATCCACAGCCCCCTGTCCTTCCCGAACCTCCTTCACACCCTCCTCCTCCACACCGCCTTCATCCTCACTCCCTCGCTCCAGCACCGCCTTGAGAGCGCTTTCCTTGGTTGTGAAGAAGCTCGCAATCGCCCGCCCCTCGCCCGTCTCTTCTGCCCTGCTTCCCCCATCGCCCAATCTCATACTCTTGCTGCGGAACGACCTATGAGTCGGCTCAAGCTCAAACATCTCCCCGGTCTCTCCTGCCCGGCTGCCATCGCACTGCCGCACACTCTTGCTGCCATCACCCGATTGCACACTCTTGCTGCGGAACGGCCGCACACTCTTCCCATCGCGCTTTACCGCACTGCTCCCATAGTACTGCCCGGCATAGATGATCACGTTCTCGCCGTCACCGTCGCTTTCATTCCCCTCTTCCTCTCTACCTGTCTCCCTCTCGCTGTCCCGCTCAACCTCCCCCTTCCTCCCCTCCTCCCCTTTCTCTTCGTCCCCCTTCCCTTCTGTTCCGTTCGCTTTCCCCTCCTCCCCTTTCCCCTCCGCCCCTTTCCCCTCCGCCCCTTCCCCCTCCGCCCCTTTCCCCTCCACACCGTCCGCCCCTTTCTCCTCCTTCCCCTCCCCATCCCCGTCCCTTTCCCCTTCCCCATCCCCCTCCCCCTCCCCTTCCCCTTCCACCTCCATTCGTTCCCCCTCGGCCCCTTTCCCCTCTCCCCCTTCCCCCTCGGTCCCTCCCCTCTCCACCCCCTCCTCCCCTTTCTCCTCCCCTTTCTCCTCCCCTTTCTCCTCCCCTTTCTCCTCCTTTTTCTCCTCCCCATCCCCCTCCTCCTCCCCCTGTTCTTCCACCACCAGCAGCGGCTCAATGGCCAGTCTGAGCACGAACCGCGCGCACAGGGCGCTCATCTCGCCCGCGCGCTCCTGCTCCTCGCGAGACGGTGGTGCCCCGAACACGCGACTCAGCTGCAGAAACCCGTTTGCCAGCTCGTATGCCCACGGGTAACTCACTCCCCTCCTCGCTGCTCCCCCTGCTTCCCCTGCTCCTACCGCTGTTGCTGTCCCCCCTGCTGCTGCCTCTCCTCCTGCTCTTAGTACTCCTCCTCCTGCTGCTCCTCCAGACCCCAAGCCCCCTCCCACTCCCATTCCTGTCCCTCCTCTTCCCCCGCCTATGCCACCCCACTCCCTGCCACACCCCAGCGCTCTGCTCCTCGCCTCAGCAGCAGCACTGGCAGCAGCAGCCGCCCGCAGAGGCTCCAAAAACGCCGCCCCGAACGCCATCGCATACTGCCACCGCACGCCGCCCGACGGTGCGTGCGTCAGTCCGAAATGCGCCGCCCCGAGCAGCCGGTGGATCCGCTGCGGCACGGGCTCCGTCCCATTAGGCACCATCGCCGCCCGGACCGTATCCGCTACAGTATCCAAATCATCATAAGCGACAGCGGCGGCCCTAAGAGAGATTCTTATAGCCGCCTCCATACACCCCATCTCGTCTGCTCTATCGGCTAAAAGCCACAGGTCCTCCTGGGTCAAATGGGGTAGTTCCGCAACTTCCCCGGCCAAAACGAGGGCGAGAATCCCGGGGCCGAGCGCGTGCGTGGTGAGAAGCGAGTCCAGCTGGCGAAGACGGTGTGAGTAGGAAGTGGACTGGTTGGTGGTGGGGGCGTTGGTAGGGGCGTTGGAAGGACCATGGGGAGAGGTGTTGGGAGGGGTGGGAGCTAGGCTGGTCCTGCCAGCCGTGGTGCTGGGAGGGGCGTGGAGAATGGATCGCACGAGTGCTAGCTCTGCCAGCTCTGTGAGTCGCGTGGGACCAAAGAACCCTGCAGCAGAGACAGATGCAGAGGATGCTAACTCCCCTCCAGCACCACCAGCACCAGTGGCGGCACCAGCAGTGGCGCGGCGCATGGGAGCAGGAGCATTAGAGATGGACATGCTTCCTGCCCGACCCACACCCGAGCCTATCGTCCCGTGCCTCCTCCACAGCCTCGACGGATCTCCCATGCCGCCCTCCTCCTCCGCACCGTCCCCTCCTGCCCCCCGCTCGTCCCCCAGGAACAAGGCACCGATCTTGTTGCGGAAGCCAATGGACGGCTGCCGCTGGAAAGGCGACGCACCCCCCTGCCACGACGGCTGGCGCTGAAACAACGCACTGTCTCCCCCACCGCCACCCCAGGACGGCTGACGGTACAGCGAGGAACGGGCACCAGCAGCAGTGGCAGTGGCAGCAGCAGGCTTGCCGGAGGCCCAGGAAGGCTGGCGCTGGAAGAGAGCCGGGTTGACTCCATTGAGCAGTGGTGAGGTACTGCTGCTGCCGCCACCCCCTGTGCTGCTTCTCGTGCCCTTGCCCCCTGACACACTCCCTGCTGCACTCTCCTCGTCGTCCCGGAACCCCTTTATCACTGTCACACTCCCTGTAGGCGTCGCCACTCCCCCATACCCCCCCATTCCGTACCCCTCCAGTCCATAACCTTCCATCCCTGCAACCACCCCGTTGACCCCCCCCATTCCTTCTAGATACGCGCTGGCAGTGGGGGGTTGTAGTCTTAACCGGCATTTAAGAGCCAAGGCGTCTACTAAGTCTAGCAGGCACTGCAGCACGAACATGCGGCACTCCCGAGCCTCCATCTCTCGTTCTACAGCTTCCCGAGCCTCCGCCGCAGCTTCGGAATCCGCACCATCGTCATCATCATCAGCAACAGCATCAGCACCGTTGTCACTGGTTCTCACTCCCTCTCTCCCTTCCTCCTCCTCCTCTTCATCCTCCTCCTCGTCCCCCAACAACCCTCCTCTCCCTCCCACACTACCCACTCCACCATCCCACCCCCCTCCTCCTCCTCTTGTCCCTCCTGCTGCTGCTGCCGCTGCCGCCCTCGCAGCCGCTGCCGCCGCTGCTGCTCCCCCTCCTCTCCGTCTCCCCCTCCCCCTCCCTCGTCTCACCCACTCCCCCGCCTCCCGCTCCTCCCTGCAAAGCCGATCCAACAACCTCAGCACACACACAGCAGCACTCACAGGCAGACAATTAGACGCTGCTGCTGCCAACCCCAGCACCCGCACCACATCAGTGTGTTGCAGCGGAGGGGGCGGGGGAGGAGGGGAGGGAGTGGGGGTACCTGCAGGACTGCTGCTGGCCGAGTGGTGGGCGGAGTGAGAGGAGGAGTGAGGGAAGGAGTGAGGGTGGGAGAGGGGGTGGGAGTGGGAGTAGGAGAAGGAGCTACTTCTGAGCCGTTTCAGGATGTCAACTGAAGGGTTGTAGCTGCTACAGCCGAGCCCGCTGCCTATCCCCACCTCCCCCATGCTACTGTAGCCACCAAACCCGCTGCTGAGGCTATTCCCAAACCCAACCCCGAGGCTGTTCCCGAAGCTGTTGCCCGCGCCTCCACCGAAGCTGCTGCTCCTGCTGAAGCTCCCTCCGGTGCTGCTGCCGACGCTGCTGCTTCGGAACCCAAACGCACCCCCACCACCACTCCCACCAACACCGCCCCTACCAGCACCACCGCCCCCAGATAACACCTCCCCCCATGCGCCCTGCTTGGCGCCCAGAGCGCCCTGCCGCCCATCCAGCAGATCCGCCAAAAGCTGCTCCTGCAGTTGCCGCCCGGCCTCCGCCCGCAGGTCGCCCTCTACCTCTGCCACGTGCACGCCACACGCCCCCCCGCTGCTGCCGCTCGCGCTGTAGCTGCCGCTGTACTCGTTACAAGATCCGAACACGTTAAAAGCACTGCACTCGTTATAAGCGCCGTACTCGTTGAGATTGTAGTACGTGCTTTCGTCGCTCGACCCATTGCTGCCCGAGCTCCAGCTGTCCTCGTTACAGAGTGCTCCGTTAGGAAGCTTTTCAAAATCAAACCTTACAGTGTCACTAGAGAAATCCTCGTCATAGAGGGACCCATTACAGTGGTTGGCAGTGGCAGCTACAGTGTCTAGTTCTGGGCCGGAACACTCACTAACAGACAACCGTGCATCTGAACCAACTCCCGCCACTCCATGTCCTGCCTTGTGTCGTCGTTTCTTCTGCCAAAGCCTCTTGTGCCGTCCCTCCCTCTTCCCTTCCCTCTCGCTCACCTCCCCATTCCTCCCCCCACCTTCCTGATAATCAGCGCCAGAACCCTCCACGAAGCTTCCAGAATCCTGCCCGTGTTCCCCCCTTCCTCCCCTTCCTCCCCGTCTGCCCCTTCTCCCCCTCCCCTCCCCCCTCCCACTAGTCAAATCGATACTCTCCATCCCCCCCTCCGCCTCCCCTCTCCCCCCTTTATTCCCCTCCTCATCCCCCAGGTCAACTGAGAAAAACGTCCCTTCTTCCAAGGGTTTCTTGCAACTTAACCCATCCAACTGCACTTCCAGCACGGAATTACCCCCTAGAACCCTCTCCTTCCCCTCTTTGCCCAAAACTCCCCCATCCTTCCCCGCACCTCCCCCTTTCCCCCCTTCTTTCCGCCTCATCCTCTCCCTCCGCTTCTTCAGACTCCGCAGCCCCCCTTCCGCGCCCTTCCGCCCCCACTGCCCGGCCCCCCTCCCCAGCTTCCCCCCCTGCCCCGCCGAGCCTAATCCCGAGCCTAGCGCCGAGGCTGCAGCTTCGGCGCCGTGGCTGGCAGGTTTGGCCCATTGCTTCCAGAATTCGACCCACATCGCCAGCCCCACCACGAACACTTCCTCCACTTTCGCAGCCTCCAGCCCCAAATGCCCCTGCGATGCTGTGCGACTTTCGCCAGGCTTAGCGCGCGCCTCTGATTGGCTGCTGCCCACGTGCCTGTGCGACAGCGCCTGCCCCAGCGACAGCGAGCGACTGTGCCCAAGTTTCGGGGCTTTCTGCGACGAGCTTCGGGGGAACGGGTGAGGAGGGGGGACCGAACCTGCGTTCCCGGTTCGGGAGCTCGCCGGGCCAAACCCGGACCTAGTGCTGGTGCTTCGGGTAAACCGTTGACTAATACTCCCGATCCCCGCAATGCTCCGCCCGCTTCTTCCGCCCGCTCCCCCAGCGCCTCCCCCTCCGCCCCCCGCGACGTTATTTGCGCTGCTCACCTCCTTATTCCCCGCCGCCATCGTAGAAGCTTCCGCGATCTTGCTCACCAGCCAGTCGTACTCGGCGCGCGCCAGCTGCCGCATCGCGCCTTCCAGCTGCTCCAGCGCCTCGCGCGTCGCCGCCTCCCGCGCGCGCGCCACGGGCGCCGCCACGAGCCGCCGGCTGGACAGCCGCTTCAGCGGATGCAGCGCCGGCTGAGACGCGACGGATTCACTCGCAACTGCGCGTGACGCATTTGCAGCGGCTGCGGCGGCTGTAGGAACCCCTTCCCCCCCAGCTGCAGCTACTGCAGATTTGGCGGAAAGTTCCCCATTAGTGGGGGAGGAGGGGGACGAACGTCGTCCGGGGAGTTCTGGCGCATCCGCCGCGGTCGCGGAATGCGCCTGGTGGGCGCCGCCGCCGCCTCCTCCGCCGCCATCGCGGCCGCCTTCGCCGCTTCCGCCGCCAGCGGTAGCGGGAGCGCCAAGGAAGATGGCTTCTATGGAGTCCGGATCGCGGTAGTTGGCATCCGTGGCGCCTACTATTTTCTCGACGTACTGAGTTAAGAGGCCCGACACGGCGTCGTGCACGCAGTCGCTGTCGGAGAAGACCGCGCGCACGACGTCCGGATGCCACGCGCGCGGAGTGGTCAGGCGCGGGGAGGGGAGCGCGGCGGAAGGGGAGGGCGGAAAGAGCGGCGGAGGGAAGTTGTAGCGGCCGACGGGCGAGGTGGGGGGCGAGTGTGGCCTTTCGAACGTGGAATTCGCCTGCCCCATGATGGTATCGAGAGTGGTCCTCCTGTAACGGGGATGTGGTGTACTAGCAGGGCGTACGTGGCATGATTCATGCGGTTCGCAACGGTTCTGGTGTTTGTGGGAACACTATCGTGTAGAAAGTTCAAGGGGTAAGATTCGCTGAGCTGCGATGATCCTACGCGCACTATGTGCCCTATGCCGTGCGCTGCACGCGAAATTTAGGTAATGTCCCAACCTGCGATCAGTCGCCATGACTCGGGGTTATTAATCGCCATGTATTGATACTGCCACGACATACGGGTTCAAGAGGCGAGTCCATACAGACGGGACCGAGATATCTTCTAGCAGATGAAGGAACGGGATTCTCGCAGGGACGCAGGCTACTAAGCAGAACGAAGGAGTGGCGATGCGGCACGCGACGGAAACGAGGGGACGAAGACGGAACAGAACATGCGTAGGAGCAGTGCTGGAAAAACGTCGAGTGGGAAAACCGTAGTAAAAATGCGGCAGGGGGAGGCTGAAGTAAGATACATCGGTGTCGTCAATCTCTTGTTTTCACAACATATGGACGGACAAGATTGACGGAAGATTCTGGTTCCCTGCAACATGGGGTGATGGAAGTGTTTCGAGGGAGCGAACAGCGCTCTGGTCGACAGGTTTGGGGAGATGTGTCTGGCTCGGTTCAGGCGGGAAAGCGGGTGATTCGCGTGGCGTGTAACGATTGGCTTCCGTCATTACTGGCTGCTTCGAGGTCACCGAAGCTAGAATAATGTGGTTCGGGTTTTGCTTGTTCTGGCCTGGCCAAGGCGGTCAGGCTGAAAAGGGCTCGCTGGTTCATCATCAGCCGAGCCGAGTCGACGTGGAAGTGTGGCGAGCAACAGGCCAACTCTGGCCGCAGCAAATGCACGTGCTGGCCTATGGTCGATTCATGTCAGCACAGATTCGATTCACCCCCCCAAGCCAACACGCGACGCGACCACCTGCTCAGCAAAACGTGTTCTGCGATACAGGGACATGCGATTGAAGTGTCTGGTCCGGCAAGCAATCTAAGGTACACTAACATTATGTAAGCTAATTGTTATCGTAACAACGTGCGTGTCTGCAACACGAAATCACAAGGCACACACCACTTGTGACCTAGATTTGATTGTCCCGTACTGTCACACTCCCCTTTTCATCATCTCGCTCGATACAGTAACAAACGTTACCATGAACAAGGCGACGATTCTGGAGCTGGCGAAGGGGTTCCGCGGGCGCGCGAAGAACTGCATCCGCGCCGCGAAGCCGCGCGTGGAGAAGGCGCTGACGTACGCGTACCGCGACCGGCGCACGAAGAAGCGCGACATGCGCGGGCTGGCCATCGAACGCGTCAACGCGGGCGCGCGGCAATACGGGGTGCGTGACAGTACGGGGAGTGTGACAGTACGGGGTGAGCTGCTGTTGAGTCAGGCAGCGATACAGGGTGAGAATAAGTGAGAGAGTGGGGGATGGGTGGGGAGATGCAGCGCACATTGTGAGTTAACGCGCGCGCGTGCGGCAGTACTGGGTATGCGAACGGCAGATGGACCCGAGATACGGGGTATGCGAACGACAGATGGACCCGAGATATGGGGTACGGGGTACGGGGTAGCTCAAGTGCCTTTTTCCATGGTACGAAGCCCACCCCCTCATTGTATTCACAACGTTGCCTCAAGTGATCCTACACACTCCTCCATCCAGCACCGCACAGCACCGCACCTTACCGCATCGCACCGCACAGAACCACACGCTTGGGTCAAACACGTACCTATCGTACTACACTCCCTTCCCCGTTTCATGTCCCGTTTTCCCACAACTACCTTCATCTCCCCAGTTCCCCAGCCCTCACCACACCCTCGCCTTCCTCCCCTGTCCATACTTTTGACACTTCTCCCTCCCCCTCCTGCTGTCCAACCAACCCCCCATCTCCCATATCCCCACCCCGCCCCCCCTCCTCCCCCACTTTCCTGTTCCTCTCCCTCCCCCACCACCCCTAATCCATCCTCGATACAAGCAGGTGCGGTACAGTGAGATGGTGCACGGCATGCAGCAGGCCAACGTGCAGCTCAACCGCAAGGTGCTCTCAGAGATAGCCGCCTCCGAGCCCTTCACCTTCCGTGCCCTCGTTCACCTCGCCCGCCAAACCCTCAACATCCAACGGCCACAAATCCCCATGTGATGTTAGATCAACGGCTGATATGCATGGATTTATGCGTGACTCTCTATCATCCACCATTCACTCTCCTCACCAGTCTCTAAGCCCTTCACCTTCCGCTCTTCTCTCCAGGACCTCGCCCAGCAAACCTTAAACCTGAAACCCTAAACCTTGAATACTAGTCGACCACAAATTCACATGTGACGCTCCATCAACGGCCGAAACTGCATGGGGTGAGATTTGTTATCATCGCAGCATCCCTTCATCTTCCATGCTGCTCTAGTGGACACAATTGCCCTTCAAATCAACGGCTGCAACTGCCCGTGCGCCTCACTCGCTCTCTAGTACCAGCATCCATCTAAACCTCACGTTGCTGTCAAGACAGCAGCATTTGATCTGAGCCCTTTGTTGGGCGTGCCTGGCTTAGGGCTACAATAGATTCGGGTACCAATAGAGGGACATTGGAATGACTAAAGTTCAAGTTTAAGATAGAAAACGAGGAGGAAATATATTCCAAATTGTTGCAATTACTGTGGTGGGAGTGCAGTCAAACAAAAATGTATTCAGCACTCTCATCCTTCAATACAATATTGGTGGGCTTGCATGTGTTTGCGTACTATATTATTACTTGTGCCAACACCGAGAACACAGAACGGGACACAATGTGTTATTGCATATTCGGGTGGCTTATGTTCAAATACACATATTAGTGTTTTTTCTGCCCGGTTCATGCTCAAAGAAAAGTTCGGCACCTATGATTCCGGCTGTTTTTGGCGACGAAGGCAAATGCGCATGAATCCATAAATGGGTAGGGAAATGCAATGAACAACCTAAATCTTATGACATATTCGACTAGCTCATGTTCAAATACACCTATTACAACACTTTCAGTTCGATTCGTGCTCAAAAAAAAGTTCGGCGCCTAGAATTCCGGCTATTTTTGCCAACGAATGCTTAGAATGCGCATGAATCCCTATGGGCGTAGGGAAAAGCATAACCTGAATGTTATTGTATGTTCGAGTGGCTCATGTTCAAATATACCTATTAGAGCCTTTTTGGCTTGGTTCTTGCGCAAAGAAAAGTTCGGCGCCTATGATTTCGGCCGTTTTTGCCGACAGATGCCTAGAAAACGCATGAATCCCTATAGGCGTAGGGAAAAGCATTTGTTACAATCCCAAGTGGGACTTAGCGAAGGATCGCTCAGGGTTGATCGCAGAGTAGTGTTGCAGCGGAAGTTTTGAATCTCAGGTCAGAGTGAATGTAAATGACTTAGTTGATAATAGCATGCATACATCGAGTTTATATAAGAGTACAGGGGAATACGAAAGGACCTAGACTAGCCATGTACTCTAAGGGGTACATTCCCTTATTACAGCAAATTCAAACCGTGCGGCGCGGGAACCCGTTTTGAACCTGTTCCCGCTCTTTTCACTTCAAATGTTTCTGCCTGCATCGGTCTTGGTCAGACGGTTGCTGCGTCGCTTCGACTCTTCTGACTCCTCGACTTCGTACTCGGTAGAGTCGGCTCCTGCAGCATACAGGAATGCCTTCTCATAAAACTTCATATCGTAACACTCCCCTTCATTCCTGGGCGCAGGAGGAGCTGACTCGCTTGACCACTCCGGTGAGGTCAGAGCAGTACTTGTACTGCTGACGTGGCAGGCGCTTGGTGAGGAAGTCTGCTGCCATCTCAGTGGTCGGGCAGTAGGCGAGGTCAACTTTTCCTTGGTCAATTTCGTCCTTGACGAAAAAGTACCGAAGTGCGATGTGCTGTGACAGAACCAGCGCCAAGACTGAAGGTGTAGCCCTGTGACGAACGCTGAGTCGCCTGGTCGTCGGCCCAAGAAGCGTCAGAGTGTCCTGTGAGGACCACCGAACCCCGTCCTCCAAGCACGAGTCCCATGCCCGATGTGCTGCACAAGTAACGCAGTACCCTCTTCGCAGCATCAAAGTGCACCTATCGGTGCCTGCCGGGTGCCACGTAGCGAGCCAGAAGGCTGAGAGGGTACGCGAGGTCAGGTCGTGTGCACGTCATCAGGTACATGAGGCAACCCACAAGCTCTGGGTACGGACCACTCGGCTCTACGGACTCGTCCGAAGGTGGAGCTGAGAGCGAGTGGCCGGTAGCTAGAGGAGTGGGCTGTGGTGAGGAGTACGTGAAGCGGAAGCGCTGAAGGACCTGGTGCACCATGTGTGACTGAGTCAGGGTGATGGTGCGCCGTGCTCTGTCCCAGGTGATCTGCAAGCCAAGATAGCTCCGTAGCTCACCCAGGTCAGTGCAGGTGTGTCTCTCCTGCAGCTCTGCCTTCACTAGGGTCAGTGCCTCAGTGTCAGCAGTAGCAAAAACCAAGTCGTCGACGTACACGAGGATGTAGAACGGCGGCAGAGTAGTGTCGGTGCGTAGAAACAGCGACGGGTCAGCAGTCGAAGGAGCAAACCCAAGAGCCGCAAGTGTCGTCCTCAGTGTGTCGTGCCACTCACGGGGCGCCTGACGCAGGCCGTACACTGGTCGCCGTAGGCTCCACTGGGTACCCGCAGGAAACGACCCAGTGAAGCCCTGTGGACGGCGCAACCAGATGGCCTCGTGAAGGCTACCCTGCAAGAAAGCTGTCGAGAAGTCGAGGGAGTGCAGCTCGTAATCACGCTGAGCTGCAACGTGTAGCAACACCCGAAGAGTGGTCATCTTCGGGGTGGGGGAGAAGGTCTGAAAGAAGTCGACCCCCTCACGCTGACTGAAGCCTCGAGCAACGTAACATGCCTTGAAGGCAGGCGGAGAACCCGGCGGCCGCTTCACCCTGAAAATCCACATGCCACTGACGATGTTCGCCCCAGATGGGGGAACCTCGTC